CCAGCTTGTATATTTGCATTATAAAGTTGTAAATCAAGTTCATCATCAGATATATCATTCCATCCTTGCCATATATATAATTCTGTATCAGTATCAATTAAACATAATGCTGGTTGATGAAGTTCATATAAATCTGCTTGAGTGAATGGAAATGCTGATATATGATCCGGTGATCGAAGAGGATAAACAAGTTCTTGAGCAACAAATGGACCATGAAGACTTGATAAATGAAATATACGCATTGTTGCAGTTAATTTTTGATGTGATCGAACTATGAAAAAAAAACAAATAAACAATATATACGACGAGCTATAAATAATACTACGATAAAAATAATTGAAATGTTTTCGCATCGATTCAATCAAATGGATTAACAACGAAAGTTCTTCAACTAATGAATCATTTCTGAACTAAGACTATATGCACTATGTAGACCGAAATGAGCTCTGCGTACTCTGAAAAGAGTTCATACTCTTAGCATACTGCTGCGAAGATACTGCACTTTTACAATATGTTTTTACTGAACTCTGTGATCCTTCTCAGGAACACCAGAATAACTGATTTTCGAATTTCGACTTGAAACTTTGCATAGGGAAAAAGTTTTAAACGAGAATGGAGAACTTCACTCGTAAGTTTTTCGATAGTGGTAGAAATTTATTGTAAGTTTTTTTTTCATAGGAATAAAGTAAGCAAACACTAATATTAAGTATTATTGTTGGTATCATAAAAGTAATTTGATCTGTTATTCAAGGAAGGAAAATACATGTATAGCATTTCATAGATAATTTTCAGTTGTCATCTAAGAGAATAATTATAAGAAACTAAAATGAACTTTATGAATGATACTATATTGATAAGTCAACGGTTACAAAATTTTGAATTTTCAAACATAGAACACTGACTTTTTCAAGGAAGTTGGTATTTAGGTATTTATGAAGTACGAAAAATATAATTTGACGGTATTCTTTGTTTACGATATTGTTATTTTAATTTTTGGTCGTACCCGTGTTTATTATCTACCCTGTAATATTTAGAAAATTTTCAAATTAATGAAAAACACCCACACACATAAATATTCGATTTTATATCAAAATTGATAAATACAACTTTGACTATTTTTTTCTTATTTAAAAACTAATCGACTTTATGTAAACTCATTGAAATATTACCATTCAATAAAGAATAATATTTTCTTTCATGTGTTCGTTCATTGATTGCATTCCAAAATAAATCTATTTCATCACCTTCTTGTATTTCATGAAATTCAATATCTTCACGTTCACTATTAAAATGAAATTCTTCTGGACGTCTAAAATAAATTATTAAAACATTAACAAAAAAATCAAAAGAACAAATCTTTATTAATCATATAAAACAAACCTTTCACGTAATTTCATAGCTGATTGATTTGCTAAAAATTTTTGTTCATCTGTTGTTGCACAACCATGCCAAAGTAACATAATATTTTTATCATTATTAATTAATAAAAATGATGTTCGACTACGTAAATTTGTACTATCAATATTTAATTCCCACCAATGATTTTCAACATCAATTTCACCAAGACATACATATAGATGCCAATGTAATTTTTTTTCTTTTAATTGATTACGTTTACCCATATGTATTGTAAATGTACCATCAAATAATTGTAAAAATGTTGCTTCTTCATGTTCTTGAATAACATGAATCTATAAATAAGTACCCAAAAAAATCAATTTAAATATATATATATATATTATTTTATAACCAAATAATTAATTTCTTACATGTGGTCCTTTTTCTTCATCGAAAAAAACTGTCATTAATGCTGAAATACCTTTTTCATTAGGACTTGCATTAACACCTTGCCATATCAAATAAGCAACACGATCACGACCTGTATCTGTCTTTCGTACAGATGCTTTACCTGTTGCTATTGAATGAAAACCTATTTTAATTAATAGGAACATTTTTAAAAAAAATGATTAATAATATTTTTTTTTCGTCTTTTTATTTATTACCTGATGCAACTAATTTATATCGCCATCGAATAATATAAACATCATCTGAATGAAATTGTCCATAACTTGATTTTGATAATTCATAACGTTCATTATCACTAACATGCCAAACCATTAATGATATTGTTTGAACATCATGACCACGTAATTCAATTGGATCATACCTTTAAAAAATTTCAAAATAATTTTTATTTTTGTTTTTAAAAATAATATTAAAAACAAAAGAAAAAAAGATCTATTAATACAAACCAATGTTTTCCTCGACCCAAATTTGCTTGTTCCAATACCATATTTACTGGATTATCTTGTTTAATAAGCATTTTATCTACATCTGCTGGTTTAAGCATGTCAACAATTGATGGTGGCTAAGTAAAATTTAATAATAATAAAAAATCTTGTTTGTTTTTATATCAAAATAAGAAAACATACTCGTCTTGCTGACGGTATTCGATTAACACTATTAGCAGCATCATTAACCGGTTTGAGTTCTTTAAGATCACCAGGCCAATCATAAAATTTACCTTTAAATAATAATGTTTCAACATTTTGATTTTGTTTTCCAAATATACACCATATTGGTCGTTTAGTACCTTTTTGAGTTGCAAGATCATTTTTATCTAAATAACGATTTTATAAAATGAAAATACTTATATATCTCTGAACTTTGAAATTTATTTTAGTTAATTTTTATGTAACAAATGTATGTTGAGTTACTCTAGATACCTTGAAAAAAAACTCAGCCCTATAAACCTTTGTTAAGTGGAGTTATTATTGAAGAACTCAGTACTAGTGATATAACACAAAAAAGGACAAAGATTTTCATTGTGTGCATTTTTTAGAGAACTCTTTAGGTTACAAAATATCGACGCCAAGTTTCTCCTGAACATGCTTAGGTTTTTCAAAAAATTGGGTTTGTTTGTTGTCAGTGATGTGAGTGAATGCGAATATAGAAATGTAAAATCTTCTCGTAAGTGAAATATATTCTTAGTTAAAGAACATATTTTTAAAAAATTAACTCCTATAAAGAATTCAAAGTTAAATCAAACATAATCATATTTCATTTTGTCTTCCCCGTAATTTTGCTCATACTATAAATTTCTTACCATCGAGTGGATCAAATGGATTAATTAAACATTCTGAAAAATCATATGAATCATTCCATAATTGTTGTGCTAATTGTAAACCCATATTACGTTTATTTTTATCAGCATATTTACCATTCCAAATATAGACTTCTGAACCAAAATCAAAAACAAATACATCATTTGAATCAAGAATTTTAATTGATAATGAACGAAAACAAAAATCATCTAATGGTATAAGCATATCATTATCTAAACGATAAACACGATTTAATTCCATTATATTAGCTTCATAAAAATCATCATCCATAACATAATCAATTGTTTTAAAATCATCCTGATGACCATGTAAAATATCACCAAATTCTGCATGTATATCATTTTCTGTATCATCATTTGCTTGATCTAATATAAAATATTTAACTTCACTACGTAAACCAAAATCACGATGTTGTTTTAAATAATCCATAATATCCATTGTTTTAGCTTTTTCTAATGCATTTGAATATCGACCAAGCCAAGCAAATACTTTTGATGGTGTTATTAATAAATAACAATCACCTTCATTTATTGATTCATATGTTGGATTAATAAGACGTAATGAACAATGACGACGTCCTTTTATTAACATTAACATTAAATCTTTATATGGTTCAAAACCAAATGTTGCTACAGCTGAACGATCAATTTTACGCAAATTAATTTCAGCAAAATTTTCTGTTGCTGCTAATGCAGCTAAAGCTTCTTGAGCAAGACCAGCATTTTCCGCAACTAAGAAACAAAGAGGAAAAAAAAACAAGGATTTCACTTTCGATTGGATAGAAGCTGTGAAAAAGTTACTAATTTTAAACATCAAAAGAATTATTTGCTTAGTACTAAAATATTTCCGTACTATTTATATTACTAAACAAGAAGGACAAAATATGATTTATTGATGTAAGTAAATAATTTGAGTAAATAAATTGTTTTAAAAGTTTACAAAAATTGAGTATTCCATCAAATTCTAATCTCTCTCTATATATACATAGCAGACATTTGATGTTTTTCTTTGTAACTTAAGCCTTAATAGTACAATCTGTCTAGAGATAGTAATCTATTAGATAATGATTGTCAGATATATGATATCATTAGGAATATATGTATATATATACATAGTGGATATGAGTATTAATTCTCATCGGAGAGATTTTAATATCGAAACAACGTATAGATAATTATTTATTTTTTTTGTCTCAAATTGAAAATGACTTTTTTTTGTCTTTAGAATGACTTTCCAACGAAAACAATCAATGTCTTTACGAATATTCTCAAAGACATGCTTACTATTGAATTATTCATGATTATCATAAATGGAAATCGTTCGGCTTGATGCCGGATTCGACTCAGCGTGTAATACTCTAAATGCAACAACCAATTACGACTGCTGATTATTACAAGGTCATCGGCAAGATTGTCTATGAAATGTGTAGAGTATATTACTAGGAGAATTTGGAGTGACGATTAGATTTAGACTAAAAAATTTTATTGAAATCCGGAGTACAATTTAGGTTCGAAAAAGTTTAATCAATCGAGTCCGGATCCAATAATTTTGAACCCAATGGTCTCTAATCACATATAAATTCTCACATAAACTGAACTATTTGAATTATACTAAATCGTGTCAAAAATATTTATTTTCTTATTGAAAATCAACATATATAAGTTGATTTGATTAAATTATATACAAAAAAAAAAAAGATTTTGATTATGATAAATGAAATCATTTTCTTTTTTATTTCTTACTTTGAGCTCGTTTTAATCGACGAAGTTCTTGTTCCGACAGATCTGTGTGTATTTCGGTATATTCATTAGCTGTTGGTATTGTTGCTTGAATTTGACGAAGAGGATTTTTCGTACCCTGTTGTTGACGACGAGGTGGTCGAACACGAGCTGGTTGTGATTGTAATCTAATTAAATTTGAAATAGAAAAAAAAAGAAATTTTATAAAGTTTTTATTTTTATTTTACCTGACAGCATTTTCAGCAATACGATTAAGATCATCAGTATTTAATTGAACTGATGGTTGATTAGTTAAATTTTTATTTGTATCAGCAAAAAAATCATCAAGATGATCATCAGGTTTTAATACAGATATTCGATCTGATTTTACAACCGAAATAACATTATTATTATTGATTGATTTTTTCGATGCTATATAAAATTGTTTCATTTGAATATTGAGATCAAATTTCTTTCTTTTTTTTTTCAAAATATTCTTACTTATTTCCTTGCTTTTATTATTTGATGGAGCTGTTTTAATCGTGTCCTTGTTTTTAACGATCGATTCTAAATGTATAAAAAAAAAAAAGAAGTCGAGGTGAACATCTGTGTGTATTTATCAATGTATTTTCAATGATAAAAAAGAAAATCCTCAATAGAATAAATGATGTACTTGTCTTTTCGTCGTGCTGTTCAATAGAAACATCCTTGTCCACACATTGTCCCATAATACTCAAACTGTTCTTTTTTGCCTAGTAGTCGTTGTTATTTGTTATACAATGATAATGATAATAATAATAATAATGTGTTTTGTCACATCTTCAAAAAAAAATGTAATCCACCTCTGAGCTTTCTTTTTTTTTTTGTCAACAAATAATGACTTATAAATGTCTATATTTAAATACTATCAATAGTAAATTTTATGTCATCTTATCTTCTTTATCTGTAGTAGATAGTTTATGAGAAAGAAATAATATGTACATTCGTAGTTAAACAGAAAGAATGTCGAGAGAGGAAAAAATGAGGGCTGAATCCGGAGATGTATATATGTATATGTGCTTGCAAGAAAGGAAGAAGAGTATGTTGTCGACGAGTAGAGTAAAAATGAGGATGAGAATGATGATGAGTAGTCGAGCAAGTATGCTTGTATAGCATAGAGTTCGATAGAAGAAGAAGAAAAAAAAAAGAAGAAAAGAAGAGAATAAAGAAGAGAATAACTTCTTTCTTTTTTTTTTTTGTTCTCATGTTATTGTTTATGCTGTATAATTTAGTTATGCAAGAAACAATGCGTTCATTTCTCATGAGATATAGACAGCAGACGTTCAGTTATCGGAAAACAAGATTTTGCCATACTATCTGTATCTTCTGGCAATAGGAAATGAATAACTAGAAATGATCATAAGATATTTCTTACTGACGCAACACCTCATTCAAAGTCAGAAAGCACACGCCAATCGATCAACGCGTCAATGCACAAATGCGGCTCAATTTAACTCAATGAGCGACATATATATATATACATATATGTATATGCATATATATATATACTTATACATAGAGTTAGATAAGTAGATGAGTGTGAAAATAGTAAATGAATTACTGTGGACGAGCGGACAACTTTCATATATATATATATGTAGAATGACAACGAACATTAGTGGTACCATTGCACTACTAATGATGATGCAACACTTTAAGTATGGCACAAGTCACGCACAAAATGAGAGAGACAAAGAGCAAAAAAGAAAGAAAAGAGGTCAACACATTTCTTTTTTCTTCCTAATAGAAAGTTATATATTATCAACGTAAGAAAGCAAATGAATAGGTTGACGTCAAATGATCAATAGTTATTTATTACTAACCAGTTTTAAGACGGATAATATCTACAGTTTTAGCACGTTGCTGTTGATCAGTATTGTTTTTTTTTGTATTATATTTTAATGTTGGAGTTTTACGTGTACTTGTTGGTAATGGTTCTTGCTCATTTGTAAGTGTAGAAATTTTTCCTAAAGAAAATTTAAAAACAAATATTGTTTTCTTTTTGCTAGAAAGATATACCTGCTTGTCGAAGTTTTCCTTCAACAGTAAATTCATTTGCATCATTTATTGATTTAACACGTTTTTTCCATTCATTTTCACCGTATGTTTTTAATTGTTCGAGTCTTAGAAAAAAAAAACAGCAATATTACTTTACATTTTCAATATAATATTGATTAAATTACGTACCTTTTGCTCACCGGTATCATATTTTCTGTTTCCTCCGGACTTAACATATTTGTATCGTCTAAATAAATAAAAATTCCTACACATGAGTAAAATCAAAAGAAATATGAGACAGCGACGATAGATAGATATATCATATATGAAGCAAAGGTGTTGACTTATGTTAAGATAAAACAAAAGCCTATAGTAAAACATACCAATATTGTGCATAGATAAATGTTTAACATGCTCTTCATCAAAACGATTTTCTTGTAAAACATTTGTTCGAAAGGTCGATTTTATTGGAAAAAAAATTTCTTCTAATGAAGAATTAAATGATAATGATAAAGAATTGTCATGCATTAGGAATTTATCATTTACTATACAGGCATACAAAATAAAACATATATAGACATGATTTTTTTTTTCTATAAATACCAGGAGGTTTTGCTGTTAATTGTTTTGAACTTGATGCTGATGATGGTTCAGGAGATAGCTTTTCAGCTGCTTGAACTTCTTCAGCAGTTATTGGCTAAAAACAATACAATGTAAACAAAATCTCTATCAGTTAAATGTTAATAGACAGTTCTCTTTCTTCTTTCCTTGAATCACATCTATCGCCTACACACAATTCTCTGTGGTGTTGTATTAGTCATAGAAAAAAAAAATATCGACTGTGATGAATGTACAAATTTTTCATTCATGAATAAAATACCTGAGTAAGTCGATTACGATTAGGTTTTGACGAAGATGACAATATGATTCCCATACTTTTCTTTTTATTAAATAGAATCATTTTTTCTTTAAATGTTAATTTTGATGTATCATCACCAAAGACATCAGTATTATGTTCTACTGAAATGTCATCAATTTCTGATTGAATTATATCTTCTGGTTTAGATTGCTGTTGTTGTTGTTGTTGTTTTTCATCATTATAGGTTTTTGTTAACAATGGAGATTTGATATCGTTGGATAGGACAGAAGTACTACAATGAATTTTTTTGTAATTTTAGGACAACAAAAAAGAAGAAATGATGTTTTAATTACTTCTCATGTTTAAATGATTTTGAACGTGTTAAACCAGGACTTAATTGTACATCTTTTGAAAATACTTCAAATAAATTTCTTTTAGCAGCAACAGTCATTTTGTCATTAATTTCATTGTTGCTTCTAAATTAAAAGAAAGAATTTCAAATATCTGTCAAAAGAAAGAAAACAATATTGATTGGATATTCAATTTCGTTGGGAAAATTTTAAGACTGATAACAAGCGACACCTACATATAATAATTAATTACATACTCATTAGAATTTTTTTGTTCGAAATTCTTATTATTTGGTTCAAGTTGTTCGATAGATATTTGTGTTCGTTTATTATATTCGGTAGGTATATCAACGGATTTTGTTTTCGTTAAACGTTTCATTTCTTTGGGATTTATATTCGAAAATGATGTTTGATTATTTGATAAAGCATGATCACTTTTTGATGTTGGTAATGCTCCATAATAATCTGATTGTTGTTGATCAAATGTATTACATTTTTGAAATGAACGTTTATAATCTTCAACTTTATATCGACTATTACGTTTTCGAATAATTTCTGAAAGGCTACGTTGTTTTTCAATAGGTAAATGTATTGAGCGATTTGTTGTTGATGTTGAAGTATCATTATTATCATCAAAATCATATTGCATTTTTTCAATAGAAGATTTTAATGGACGAATCAATGATGGTGTTGATGATGTTATTATTGTTTCATTTTGAAATTCATTTTCTATATCAAATGGATGAAGACATTGAAATGCATTAGACACACTTGTATTGGATGATGATGTTGCTTTTTCATTTTCTAATGGAACATTTTTTTGAATATTAACTAAAGAAGAAAAAAAAACATAATTTTCAATGAAAATTTTTAAAAGAAAAAGAAAACCAAACTAAATAAATTTACCATCTGCAGGTTCAACAATCAATAATTCTTGATTTGATATAGGTCGTTTTATATACTCTTCTTTATAGGAAGGATTCCAATCTGTATAGGTTTTTGTTGGCATATCTATAGATAATAAAAAAAAAGAGAAAGGTCGAAGATCGATTATTCTTTTTTCTGTTGTATTGTTAATAGTATAAAAGGAAAGAAGAAAAAAAAAGCTACAATGTCTATATGTCGGGTACTAATTTGTGTCCAGCATATGGATGTTTTATGATTGTATGTCGTCGTTGAGTGTACGTGACAAGAGAAAGAAAAAAAAATGAGGGTCACCATTTGCAGACACACTCAAAGTAGCTAAATTAGTTGATGCTCTTGTGAATGAATTCATGTGAAAGCGATCAACACAATGGTATACTCGACATTGACGACTTATTTTATTCTTTTCATAGGTGACAAATCTCACCAAAGAAAAACAAAAAAAAAAGAAAAGAAGAAGAAAAGAATTCAAATTTTCTTACTTTTAATATCAGCTATTTGGTCTTTATTGATTTGAAGATCATCGACAGCATCATGAAATGTATCTTCAACTATTGGTGATGAATGTATTTCTTTAGATTTTTGATAGCTGGAACCATATTTTTTTGTAGTAGGTGTATTTGTTGTTCGTGCATAAAATTGAGGTTCAGCAAGTGATGATTCTGATTTTTGTTCTTGTTGCATTATGTTTCGTCCTTCTTTTTTATTATCTGTTGTTTTTGCAGATGATAATCTTGTAGAAGTACTTGATTCGACCAATACATTTGTTTGATCGATTCTAATCTCATTTCTACGTATAGAATTTGTAATTCCTGTACTTGTACCACTATTACCAATATCGTTAATAGATGTTGCTCGTGCACTAATATAACGATTTTTTTTTGGTGATGAAGAATCTATATCAAGAAAGAATGTATGTAAACTAATGATAAAACAACAGTTGATGTCGCAATAGCTATGACAAAGATGAAGAATGGAAGAAAACAAGAGAGAGAGAGAATGACAAGAAATTCTTTCGTCTATACATCATAGGATAACACCCGGGTAGTAGGGTAACGTATAACGCATATAAATTAGTGCGAATATGTAAAAGGAAAAAGGAGGAATAATTTTCCAGCAGAATCGTCAGAGAAGCAATGTTGACGAAAATATGAAGAAAAAGAGTCTAATAGAATTTATGACCAAACATAATATAATTTGTGCCATCAACTAATAAAAAGAGAAATATAAGAAAAATTATTCATTTATGCATGTGCTGCCAAACATATATATATACATATATATTACAACGAACATTAATGCGCCATTTTCGTTATCTTCAGGCGAGAAAATTCTATTGTTTTTCCTATCCAAGGTTATTCATCGTTTATTTTAGAAGATTATTGTGGTTAGTACTTCTTTTTATAGTAATAGAACGGTTATCGACAATTTCCTAGCAGTAAAAAAAAACAAACAAATAGAAGGCTAAAGATCAAAATACATTGCTTGTTTCATCGGTCTGATTGTTATACGGTAAAGTTAAATTTGTTTTCATTAGAAAAAAATTTATTATTAATTAAGAACATAAATAGATTAATTCAATGAAAAAAATAAGTATTGTTCTAGTTCTTTTATTTATATGAAAATTTACTTGTTATGGAAGAGTTTGATGGATATAGTTGTGTTGACATAGATTGAAGTATTTTCTATGATATTATTGTTCTCATGTAGAAAACAACAAAATAAAAAGAGTTTTATCAATGCTGAGATCCAGCTATTTCTAATAAAGAATAATAATATTTGTCATTGACTTTTTTCTATTATTATATGAATATGATGTATTGATATTTGTTATGTTGACAAAATCGTAATATTTCAATCTATCTTTGTCTTTTCTTATTGTCTTTTAGCTAATGATCTTCATATTTATGCCAAATAATTGCAACAAAATGTATGAAACTGTACAGAGATTTACATTCTTACTGTAAGAGTAAATATCAGCTGAATAACAGTCTTAGATGTATATAAGACGATGAATCATTTGTTGAGATAACACTCAGGGATGAATGCCCTTTTTACAAAATGTTTGTGTAGGTGGCCTCAACTGTGTATGATATCTATATATATATATATCCTCTAGGTAAATTCAACTATAAATAAATAGAAAAAAAAAGCAAGATGCTTACCAAGCAATGCTCCCTCTGATTTAAGGACATTTTTTGAATCAGTACAAAACCTAAATAAAAAGAAAACAAAAATCAGTCACATTCATTTTCAGTGTTTTTTTTTTGTATCCAATTTTTTTATTTGTTTTTCTTTTTCTTAATTAAATAGAAATTTTTTTGATAAACAATCATACGCAACCTATCAATGATATCATATATTTTTTGTCTGATATATATACATATATATATATGAGACAAATGAATAAAACAAGAATATTAAAGGATATGACAAATCTAAATTTATTCAGTTGTACATACCACGCTCCCATGATGAATCGATTGTAGTTTTTTTTAGTAGAAAGTAAAATAAAGATTTGTTGCAGTTTAACTTGTGTGAATGGTTTTATTTTGAATTTATCTATTTTATTTTATCAAAGTAGATACGATAGTATATACACGTATATATGTTTGTTGGCCTATCATTTGATTGAATATAGGCAACCAACAAAGGAAAAAAAACAATTATCGTGACTTTATTCGCATGCTATTGATGCTATGCAATAAATGTGCAAAAAATATCAAGTCAAGAGGATACAAAAAAAAAGCAATAATATCATAAGAGAACCAAGAGAGAATAGAAGAGAAAACATGAACAATGTATGCTACCAATAGTTCTTTCTTTCTCTTGATTATATAAACTTGGTTGCATATTATGATCGGTGATGAAAGATAGAAATGACGAAGTAGCAAGAACCAACAGCATATATGCATATGTTACGATGTCTATGGTATAGGTTTTTTTTTTTTTTTTTGATAAACGCAATACATTAATATCTCCATTATGAAAATGACGATGGTACGTGGCGAAGTCAAGCACGAACATCATTCACATACATACATACATTAAACAACTCGTTTTCTTTTCTTTCTATTTGTTCTTTCTATTGTCAGTTTATTTATACATTATCTCTCATTTAAAAATATTTCTTGCTTGTACTATCATTGCTTAAAATGACTTGTTGAGCTTTCTTTCTTCATTTTAACTTCATTGATGAAACTACATAAGTGTGAATATTAAGAACTACGCGATGATGTGATGTATTGACAAAGTTTTATAATAATCTGGCACTAATTATCACATTGGGACGATGTCAAGCTGAGATAAATATACATATAGACATAGTATTTATAGATACGTAAATAAAAATTTCTGTATTAAGTGATTCGAAAATTTTCATTAAACAAAAAGAAAACTCAAATACTAAGTAACTTCGTATGATAAGAGAAGCGATGAGTCTCTTATTACAAGTCAAGATCTATTCTATTAATATAGAAATAATATGGAATTTTTTTCTTTTGTTTCGTCTATGTCAATGTCATTATGTATGTATATTTATATGTATATAAAGCAATCAACAAAGACTTAGGCATCATAATCAGACAAACTTCTTTGTTCTTATGTGATGAGCAGATGTGTATACGGATAGATAATAGAACAACAAGTCATATCACTAAAAATTGACCTAAATATGATTTTCTTCTCCATATAGTTATCAACCATTCTAGTAATAGACTGTTGATCTTGTTTTGTTATTTTTTGAGTCTATTAATATTTTGGTTAGGAATGCATCGAATCCTTAGCATCCGTCACAACATTTGTGACCTTTTGATATGAGAACTCTTCAAATTTTGGTACTTCTTTTTTTAAAATTTAACAAGATTTAGTAACAGTATTGTATACGGCTAATAAAACTAGTTATAATTGACCCGAAGAATCGGGGGAGGAAGAGAAAGAGATTGTACCGAAAATCCACAACAATCATGATGGCAATTGTATAGGCTTCGGTCCATGCGTAACTTTGATTGACACTAATTGATATATGTAGGTATCATAGTGATTCAACAATGAAAAATAAGAAAAGAAAATTCTTTCTGTATTGAAAGGTCATTTGTTGGTTATTGATTGTCACATCATCAAATTAGACCGATAATACACAAAAAGAAGAAAAAACAAAAAGAAGAAAGGCCTGAACTGAATGATAAACACTACATTTTTTCTTCACTGATCTTATCTAAGGAAAATTTTTGATGAGATAAAAAATATCCATATATATATATATATATAGGCAATAGAAAAACAAACGTCCGCACTCTGAAAGACTACACAATAACAATAAAAAAGTCTTGATGATAAAAAGTGAAAATGCACACTTATTTTAAGAAAAAAAAAACGTTCGTTTTTTTTGCTTATTTTGCCGTTATGTAAAACAGACATATAAATACTGATCAGATTGATATAACATTGAAAAAAAAAAGAATAAATACAAAGATAGAGAAAAAGACATTTTGAGATGTGTGATGTGAAGACGCACTGTAGTGTTGTACATATTCATTCACCGTCCATTTGTCCTATAACGGAGAGAACACGAATTGATTCTGTACCATGATCAATTTTTGAACACCTATCTAGTTGACAGCAAAATATATGTATATGTGATATCGCCAAGATTCATATCAATCACACAAAAACCAAGCACATCAATGTACAAATGATTATCGTGCAATCAAGCTGCAAATGCATAACATAGCTTAAGGTTAAAACAAAAATGAATAAAAAAACATCTCCGTATATGTATATAGATATATATATAGTTATCATGCATACTTAGGCAACAATATTGAACTAAATGTAATATTACATTCATTAGGGGGGGGGGGGAGGGGAAAGGGAATTGAAAAAATAGAAATATAAAGAAAACAAGTATTAATGCGCATTACAAGCAAATTGAACACAGCAGAAATAAAGCAATAATAATTAAAAAAATGAAGATCAATAGGTCTAATTTGATGATGATAAAATAGGCAGGTTAAAAAAGTTAATTAAAATTGCTGTCAACTAGATATAAGTTTTTTTTTTTGTAAAATAAATGAAGAATAAAAATTCAAATTAAATCTTACTTTCTAGGTTTTGGTATTCCACAAACTGAATCATCACTATCAAAATCGGCATTCATAGGTTTTGATAATGCTTTTCTATTATTATTTTTTCCATTAAAATTTGATGTTCGATTATTAAATGTCATTGAATCTAATGATTTATAACGAAGTAAAGCAGCTCGATTAATACGTTCAATATTAGCTATTGACAATGACGATGTCGATGATGATGATGATGATAGATTTCCATCTCCTCCTCCTATTAAATCACGACTTGTTGATCGTGGCTGTCGATGATATCTACTAGATTCATTATGATTTGTTGATGGAAAAAAAGAATTATTATTGTTATTATTTTGAGTTTTTGATGGAGATTCTTGATATAAATCAGCACTTTTCGAACGTTTCATTTGTTTACGCCTTTGAAAACGACGACGACTTTGCTGTTGTTGTTGTTGTTGTCCATTATTGGATCGTTCATGGTGTGATTGATCGATCAATTTTGTACACATTAATCCTTGAGATTGTTGTTGACCACTATTTGACGATGTATTAATAGGTGTTGTTGATGAAGTATATTCTCTTGGTCGATAATGGTATGAATTAAGTGGCGAGGTATAATTATCGAATTTTTCATACTTATTATTATTATTATTATTATTGACTGTTGTACCATGACCATTATGATATGTTGAAGGAGAATATATTTGCTAGAAGAAAAAAAAGAATATTATTTTTATTTATTGAGAGAACATGTTAATTTTAAAAAAAGAAATATTTTTCAGATAACAAAAATTCTACCGAGATTGTACAAATATTTGCATAATCTCAAATAATTTTTGTAATAGAAAGAAATGATTAAAAGTTCAAAGGGTTTCTATTGCTTTCCTATTTTTTTTTATAGTTTTACCTTTCCAGAATAAAAATCTGCTTGTGTAGGTGATCGATATTTTTGTTGAGAATTATTGGCTGATGAAGCCAAACTAGTAGAACGTCCAGTAGTATATAATGGAGTATTACTCGTATTGGGTAATCGACGTTGTGAAACGTGAGAAAGTGATTCTGACAATAACATTGATGATGATGCAGGTGTTGCGTAAGAAGAAGTTGATAAAGGTTGAGATGTATGTGAAGGAGGAGGAGGAGGTGGTGGCATTGGCTGTTGTGGTGGTGGTGGTGTTGAATATGCAGGATTCGGTACAAGAAAATCTGAATGGCGAACATTAGGATGACGAATTGTACCACTAAGAGAAGCAGCTGATGAAGACGTTGATGAATTAGTTGGAGTATTTCCCATACTATTTACCATATTACGTGATTTTGATGGTACGGTTGTTGTTGTTGGTTGTGAAGATATTGATTGATAAAGTGGACGAACCATATTTGTATTTATTGAATACGGTTCAACTTTGGCTACATTTCTTAAACGTGTTTTTGTCATTTGATCATGATCATTTAAACGACGAAAACGATAAGCATCATATGAAACTTCAGATGATGGCATTATACTATTATTATTTGAATAATTGAGTATTTCACTACTAAAATACATATATATATATATATATATATAAACACAAAGAAGTAAACAAATGCTGATTAATTATATCTAATATAAAGAGATAGAAAACAAAAGAAATAGAATTATATAATAGAAATAATTGTTTAGATTACTCGGATAATACATAGAATGAAAAAGTAATAAGAACAAAAACAACTGACTTGTCTTTGAGCATGAATAATGTCAAATAAAAACAAAGCTCTCAATCTAACAACTGCATATAAAAAGAAAGAGAAAAGAGGAGAGAGAGAGAGAGAGAAAATGTTTAGAGTTGATCAAACTCACAAGCTGTAGTAGATAAAGAGAACGAGTATATCTGTTTCTATTTATTTTTGACTTGTGCCTTGTATGTTCATTCTCTTTACCAACGATCGACAAGAAAAAGAAAGAGATAAAAGATCATGATATTATTCATATACAGAACAAGAAGTTTTTGAAGGAAAGAAAATGAAGAAATATATTTTATCATTTATCTTTTTTTTCTCGTTCTATGCAACGAATCTTCGGGGTCAGTTATGATAACTCCTAAATATTTTTTCGCTCTCTCTCTTTCCTTGATTTATCGATGTATTGTTAGTACAGATGATTAAAAATCGATTTGAACATGTCCCCAATCATTACTAATCCTAAAGTATTCGTTGATGCTTTTGTTCATTCAAACCAATAGGAGACAGATGATCATTCTATGTCAAGTATTTACGTACATATTGTGAACACAAAGCATGACACGTACATAGACATTTACATATATGTATATACATACATATATGTATATATTGTTAAAATAGAATGAAATATGAGAAAATGTATTAACAATAGATGAGTGAAGAATGCTGATACAGATTTATACTTTTGTCTCAACTGCAAAGAAAAAAAAAAGAATTTAACCTTGTCTGTCTCTTCATATTTTATAGTAACTAACAATTACTAGATGAATACTTTTGATTGACTAATAGTTATATATATGAATGTTCAAGTTCAAGAGAGAGACACGATAGAATTCATAGAACACTTCATTTTCTTTCTTTTTTTTTGTCGTTGTTAGAGTGATGTAGTTAGATTGATACCTATTTCATTTTCTTATTTAGAGAAAGAAAAAAAAACAGAAGGAAACTCTCAACATCAATTCTATTGCCTAGAGGCTTGTCACATATCGATTGAATTATAGCTCTACATTTACTTTCAACACTGTACTACTCTCAAATTTTCCTCTTTCTTCTACGTCGTCATTTGTTACAATCTATTGCTTTTTCTCTTTTGAGTGTACAATGAAAGACGACAAGAACTTGTGCATGATATGTAACTTAATCAGTAATAGTATTGCTAGCGTTGAAAAACATGAACTTCGATGACAAATGATGACTGACGTATCATACGCAATAAATTGTAGTTAAGAACCGCCAAGTAAATTGTAGGCGACATATTGATAATGGACAATGCATATGGCTACGTCATTCAATTCTTATAATATAAGACTGTTATATTACTTGATCTAACTGTCAATCAAATAGATAAATTTATCTTTTCTCTCTTCTTTTTTTTTCTTCTTCTCATTGTCGTTTTTATCATTTTTATATTTATTGATAAGACAAAATAATATCTATATACATACCTATCAAAAGCTTTTTGACTTTTAAGTATAGGTCTTTTCAATAATGGTGAAGATGTCTGTACATCTTCTTGATTAATTGTTGTTGATTTAATTAAATCATCACTTGGTATTTTATTTATTTGTGATTCAATTGAATTTGAATTCGAAATTTTTTGAACAAGTGAAGATGATAATGAATCTGATTTATTTGTACTTGTTCCATGTATAGTTAAATGTTGATTAAGATTTGATTCAATTGAATTAATTTTATGTTGTTTATTTATAGGTGAATTTATTAAATCAAGTGATGATGATTTTGTATTAAATAATTGTTTAAGTTTTTCAACACATGAACCAGTTGTAATTGATGAAGAATTTTCATGAAAATCATCAATATTATTATCATTCTTGGTTTCTATTGAATTTTTATTTCGATCAGATAATATTCCATAAGATTGATTTTCCTGTTGTTGATTAATCATTGAATGTGGTGAAGGAGATCGAACAGGAAATGTAGGTGTTGTTGATGGCGGTGGTATAATCGACGAAGAAGGAGCAGCATCCGATTGTAAACGTAAGTCCCATTCTGATTTACTTATTGCTGAACAAACTCTTTTTGTACCAGTTGTGATTAATGGTTGATAAGTAATTGTATTTTCATTTGATAGAATTGATGATGTCGGCGGATCATGTGGTTCAATTTCAATAGTTAATGGTTCAGTTTTTTTAGATGGAACATTGATTTCAGTATGTAATGTTGGTGGTGGTATATATTTAAGAATTGGTCGAATTGATGGATTAGATTTATTTGATGATTGTGGTGATGATGATCGTAGTGGTGGTGATTCTTGTTCATCAACTGCTTGTTGATGTTGAAGTCGAGGTGTTAATGATTGTTTTACTGAAGAATTATCATTATGTGATGAATTTGATGTTAATTGTGATAAATATGTGCATGAAGATGAAGAAAGATTTGATGGTAATGATAATTTTGATTTTGGAGTAGCATCTTGAAATTCATGTCGATTATGTTCAAGTGATCGACGATTTTGTATACCAATAATATTTGCACCTAGTGGATCATAACGACGAATTAAACGAAGTACATTGGAATCCGTCATTATAGTTGAATTATGATTATGGCCATCTCCACCACTTGATGATGAAGAAGGCATTCTTGTAGATCCATTATCATCACTCTAAAATATATAGAAATATCTATATATATATAAATAAATTATAACCTTGAATCAGTTGTAAGAATGTGTATGATGAATGTCGCGTGGTAGTACGCCTGATACATAAAAGCCTATGGAACAGACAAGAGCCTAGAAAGAATCTTGCTCGTCCATCTGTCTTCTTTTTTTCACACCACAAATAACTTCGCATCGATAAGCAGAAGAGAAAAAAACGAGAGAATGTAAAAGAGAATAGCACAAAGAAGAGAAAAGAAAGGAGAAGTAGAAGAAGAAGACAAGAATTCTAAGTATCTTTTATATATATATATATATATACAGATTGTTCTAATGATTAGACACATGCACATCCAAGAGAGTATAGTACCAATAGTTGTCGAAAGCAAGAAGCAATAGCGACCCACTATCATCATTATTCATTATCATCTTGTCCTCTTGCTCGCATCTGTAAAAAGTATAGTTGTTGAAAGAATAAGCACTGTATTGCGTCCCTGAACTGTTTGAGCTTTCTTGTCGACTAGATACTCAATGATGTGTTATAGAACAAAAAGAACTGAGACCAAGAAAAAAGAAAAAAGAAAAAACTCAACTAGCACAAACAAAAAGTACACACAAAAAAAAAGAAAATTTGAAGAAAAGATAGTTTTTATTTTAAACTTACCGTTAGAATAAATGATAATGGAAATTTATTTTCTGCTTTTATGATTTTTAATGGCTTAACTTGTTGTAATTGTTTTGAAATGTAACGATAACCTTTCGGATTTTCGTTTCTTGTATTCGTAGTGAAAATAGAATTATTTTTATTATTATTATTAATATTATTATTATTTTGAGTTTTTATCACTTGAATTGGTACAGTAACAGTACCCACATTTGCCGAAGTAGTAGATGAAGACGAAGAAGAAGACGACGAAGAAGATAATGATGATGTTATCACAGTACTAACAGCTATTGGTTTATTACTACTAGTAATATCGACAGGAATCGAGCGACGCAATTGTTTCTAGAATTATATATAGTTAATGAAGAAAAACAATGTACACATATCATATGTATTTTTATATCTATATATATACCTGGTCAAAAGAAATATTATTCATAGGTGATGGAGATTTTTTTTTAACAATCATCATTGGTGAACCTGAAGGTATTGTTGTAAATCGTCGACGTCCATTTGTAATTAATGGACGAAAATCCATTTGTTTAGTTTGAATATTTTTTGATAATGGAGAATGAAAACATGTTGAATTGGTTTCTTTATATGTTGAAGAAACATTTGGAGATATTAATGGTTTTTGTATAAATGCTTTATCATATGCTTGATTACTCACTGAACAACGTACAATAGGGTCTGGCATAGCTATATGTGTTATTGTATATCGTCGTTTTGATCGTTCTTCTTTATCAACTGGTATTGACTTTGTTGTTTTCATTATTGATAAATTATCACAATCAGATCTTGAATTTGATGAATATAATTTGTTCGGCATATCATATGTAGTATCCAATGAATTTGTATTATTTCTCATAGTCATTTTAGGTTGTTGTTTAAAATTGATCATTAAATGGTCATAGATGGTGGATGACGACGATGTTGGTGACATATTGTCTGTTGAAATCTGTAAAAAAAAAAGAAAAACAAAGACTCGAAAAATAGAAAATGATTAAAAATGATAAATTATGAAGTAAAAAAGAGAAAGAAAGAAGTGGCAACACTCGTTAACATCGTCTCTATTTGACTTTACTGATATTTAAAGTCATCATCACACATCAAGAACGAAAAATGGACGAGTAAAGGAGAGTGAGCAAAGAAGAAGAAAAAAAGAGGATGCATATATATATGCACATGCACATAAGCGTACTTCCCTTCAGGCAAAGAATGGTGCCAGAATAGCATTCGTCTATTGTTAAATTGTTCGATTTAGTTAAAATCTTATCCGCTTAAATGACTATACTACTATTGAATGTTGTTATTTGCCTGTGAATGTCTTTCTTCTCTATGAAGCACAGCAATGGGAATAAACAGACAAGTATTGAAAAAAGGAAAGGTAAAATGAAGAACAAAAAATAGGCTAAGAGCCACAAATTGAAAGACAATATATTGACATACGATAAAGGAGAGAAAAACAGTCACACAAAATAAACATACATATGCATACGATGAGAGTCTTACTTAGTCAAATTGAATTGATAAAAAATGTTTAATGTCTTCATCTAAATACGACGACTGTAATTATTATTATTTAATGATTTAAATCTAATAGATAATCAAAAATATAAAATAAAGCAGGTCTTTATATACTTTTCTTTTTCTTTTTTTTTTTTCGTGTTTCGAAATTGAATGTTATGTAAAAACAAAAGAAAACAAGAAATGAAACGGATAAGAGAATTTATTCGGCAGCAACATCTTAAAAGGGATTAGTCGAATGATAGATTTACCATAATGTACTATACAATCAACATGAATAGTAAAGTGTTTAAAAGGAAGAAGAAAAAAAGAGGAACATATCCTTCGTACGCACATTTACTACCTACGTATGTCAATGTTGTAACATAGGTCCCTCAACTTGAATTCAATTTATATGAAAATGACAAGAAGGTGTAGGTGTATGTGTATGTTATGTACGTTGTATGTGTCTTGATCAACAAATTATTACTTTTTTTTTTTCTTCTTCGATTTGCAGTTTCATTTTACAGACGGACAAGATTACAAGATTATTTTAACTAATGTTACATGAAACTAAACAATGCATGAAAAATTGCAATATACTTATATATTAGAGAAATTTTTGTAATCAGGTTTTTATGTGATGATAAATGATAAGAGTTGACATCTTACTTTCTCTTTCTCTTTCACTTATGCCTACATAATAGCCTTGGATTGTTAAAGATAAAAATAATACCTTGGAGTTTATCGAACCGAATCAAGAATGCATCTGTAGTTTTACTTCATAATCGTCGATTATATAGAAAGTTACTTTTTTTTTCTTTCTCTTTCTATTGTCTTATAAAATGAAACTGTTGACTAATATGCTAATTCAAAAAAAAAAAAGAAAAAGTTTTTCGAAGAAAAAAAATATTTCTGAGTGTTAAAATAGACATAAAAATAATATAGATAATATATTACCTTATTGTTGAGAATAGTTAACGAGATAACAAATTCATTTGATTACTCTATCCTTCGTTGAGTTCTTACTCACACTTATATGTATTGTCTATTGACATGACATTTTATTGCATGACAATGTACAACTAATGCATTACCATTACTTATATATTGTCGACTCTCTCACGACTGTAATTAGTAGTAATGGTATATTCATGAAGGAGGGAAGTATATAATACCTGTGTGTCAATTAGTACTGTTATAGATATGAATAGCACTAACCTATTTTGTATAGAGATAGTAGAGTATGTGATGAAGGGTTATCGACAACGAGGTCGAGAAAAAGATATATATTTTTTGATGAGTTGCTATTTAGATTTGCTTCGTCTTCTCATCTTCTTTTTCTCATTGTAACAAGCGATGAATGAATCAATCATGCGCATAATAAGTATATATATATATATATATATATATTCTCGAGCTCGAGCAAAAGTATATATGTGCAACATGAAAGTTGATCAAAATAGCAAAAAATAAAACAGTGTATGTCCAAGTATTATACTAGGCTGTTTCTCATTTACACTTTATTAGTGTTTCTCTTACTTGTTGTAATGGTCGGATAAGCAAGGCATCAAATCACTAGTCTATTATGGTTGGCAAATGTCTCCATTCTTCTCTTCTTTTCAATAAGTCTTCATGTATTATCATCGAACAACCCAAGGCTTGATCACTGTCGTACACATAAATCAATCTCAATGTCTAACAATATCGTCTCGTCTATATCTTCACTATTATACTTTACTCCTTTTTATTTGTATTGATGATAAACCATGTATATATTCATTCACTTTTCTTCTTATCGATAACAAGACCATGTATACAAAGTATCATACATACGTGCAACGATACAAAAAAAA